ATTCTTAAGTCAGAAAAATGTGTTCCATAACTTTCTCCTATATATGACCTTTGTGATAAAGCAGGAAAGAAGAAAAATAATCATACAGCGATACACAAATGAAAAGACTTTTCAGAACAGAATTATTTTCAGATTTCAGCAGCTGTTCAAAGGAAGAAAAAACAAATCCTTACTTGACCACATTCTCATTCATATGTCATTCCCAATGTTTTTGAAAATAGAAAAGTTATTTCTGCTAAAGTTCAAGCATAACCACTCTTATTTTAGCATTGATGAATTCAGTAAGGATTTCTTTATGCTGTAGAAACCCTATTACTTTTTTTATTTACCCTTTAGATATCCCAGTTTGCTTCCTCTGCCTAATTGCTTGAAATATTCATAAGGCATTTTCAAAGCTTCTCCTTGTATATTGTCCACAAAAAAGAACATAAAAACATAACAGTTGTAAAATCAAGCATTCAAAAGTTAAGCGGTGCCAGGATTAAGGTTGTCTCTGCAGTTTTAATTTGGCGCTCCCCTTATTGCACTTACATTATTGTAGTCTCCAATTACATATTACATAATATTTTTTCAACAGGATCCATGGGTCTCATTCAATCAATCCAGAACAATTTAGCATGGAACAGTTGCCTAGTATGGAAGATTTCAGCTCAGATTGTTGAAGTATATTAGTGTCATAAACAAGTTCAGAGCAAAGTCTTAAATGAGACATGTCAAGCAACCTTATTTCATAGATTTCATAGACATTAGGGGTTGGAAGGGACCTCGTGACATTATTGAGTCCAGCCCCCCCACCATAGGCAGGAAATCAAATGGGATCAAGTGATCCCAGCAACCTAAATATCCAGATGTTTTCTGAAAGAGTCCAGAGTAAGTGCTTGTACCACCTCTGGGGGGGAGTCTGTTTCAGACCCTGGACACTCTCACTGTAAAGAACTTCTTTCTTATGTTTAGTCTAAATTGGCCTTCCTGGAGTTTATGGCTGTTAGGGCTTGTTATCCCTTGGGGAGCCCTGGTGAACAACTGTTCTGCCAGGTCCTGATATACCCCTTTATATAATTGTAGGCGGCTACCAAGTCCCCCCCTGAGCCTTCTCTTTTCCAGACTGAAGATTTCATAGATTTCATAGACATTAGGGATGAAAGGGACCTTGGAAGATCATCGAGTCCAACCCCCTGCCCCAGGGGCAGGAAGTCAGCAGGGATCATAAGATCCCATCAAGATAAACATCCAGATGTCTCTTGAAGGCATTCAAAGTAGGTGCTTGAACCACCTCCGGCGACATTCTATTCCAAAGCTTGGGGGCTCGGACAGTAAAGAAGTTCTTCCTTATGTCCAGCCTGAAACGGTCATGGAGGAGTTTGTGACCGTTCAACCTTGTCATCCCTTGGTGCACTCTGGTGAACAGATGTTCCCTCAGATCCTGGTGAGCACCCCTAATAAACTTATAGGTGGCCACCAGATCACCCCTGAGCCTGCACTTTTCCAGGCTGAAGAGTCTAATAGCTCTCAGCCTGTCGTCATAAGGTCTGTTTTCCTGACCTCTGATCATACGCGTGGCTCTCCTCTGCACTCTCTCAAGCTTCTCCACCTCCCTCCTGAAGGCGGGGGGGGCGGGAAACTGGATGCATTACTCCAGCTGCGGCCTCACGAAGGCCTTACACTTATTTTGAAGTGTAATTTAAGGGACACTTTGGGGACACCAGGATTCAGCACCTACAACTTGACTGCCCCAGAAAACTGGGCCTGCTTGGTTATTTAGAAGTACAGAGGTAGGGGGATGATTTCTGGTAGTACAAAGTTCTTTACAAAGGCATAAGAAGATCTAAAAGCTAGAAATTATAGTCAGGCAAATTCAAAGTAGAAATCAAGTGCAATATATTAATGATGAAAGTTATTAACCCTCGGAATAATTTGCCAGAGAGAGTACCGGATTCTATATAATTTAAAGTAATTAAATCAGGATAAATAAATAAATATTAATATAAATATATATATAAATATTAATTTTCTAAATTTTTTAAATAGAATGGCTTGGTGGGCCATAGTTTGCTTGCTCCGGCATTAGTAGGAGTGTTGCCAGCAAATCAAGGAAAGCAATTCTTCCCTTCTATTCAGCAGTATTGAGGCCACATCTGAGTACAGTGTTCAGTTTTTGGGTCCCCCACTACAGAAAGGATGTGGACAAATTGGAGAGAATCCAGCAGAGGGCAGTGAAAATGGTTAGGGGACTGGGGAACATGTCTTATGAGGAGAGGCTGAGGGAGCTGGGCTTATTTAGTCTGTAGAAGAGAAGACTGAGGAGGGATTTAACAGCAGCCTTCAACAAGGGTAGTTCCAAAGGGGATGGTGCTAGATTCTTCTCCTGCAGTGGCAGATAGTGCAAGGAGTAATGGTTTCGAGTTGCAGCAAGGGAAGTATAGATTCAATATTAGGAAAAACTTTCTTGCTAGGAGGGTAGCAAAGCACTGGAACAGGCTACCCAGAGAGGTTATGGAATCTCCATCCATGGAGTCTCTTAAGACCTGGCTAGATGAAGACTTGGCTGCGATGATACTGTTGGGGATGGTCTTACTTTGAGCAGGGCATTGGACTAGATGACCTCCTGAGGTCCCTTCCAACCCTAATTTTCTATGATTCTATGATTTTTGTATAGCCTGGTAACATCTATAATGGTCTATTAGTGGAAGTCTCATAGGTATTAGTCTTCAGATCAAGAGCAGCCTAATAAAGCACTTTGAAAATTGTTAACCTAGCCTAATTACAGCTTACCTTGCTAGTAATATAGTGTGATCCTTTCTTGAAATGTTTATATAAGTAAATCAAGGGACCATTGGGTACACCTGACTCATATTTATTTAATAGTCAATTCTGCATAAAATCCAAGTCTTGATTATAGCTCTGTTGCTTGCTATACATTCCAAGTTGCTTGCTTTAGATTATGAGCTATATATTGTATGGACTGGCTCTTTGTAAAAATAGCATGTAATCATTGTAAAAATAGTGTATGATTGTGCCAGAGCACAAACACAATTAATAATAGTAGTAATTGCAGAGATAGAATGACACAAGTTTCTTCATATGTTCCTTTTAACAGTAGGAATACTTAATGCAACAAGTGAAACCTAATAATAAGGTGAGATTCCTTCTTGAGGAGAGTCTGAAATGACCTTGCCTTTCCCAAGCTCCCACACCTATCTATCTTGTTGTGTACCAATTGCTATTGGATACTGCTCCTTCTTTCCTCTTGAAAATATTACATGTAGGAATTTTGTACTTGAACCAACCAGCAAGTAGATGGAAGTATGTAGCTTGAAGCCCAAAGTAGCTTTATGCATGTGCTGCCCAGTAAATGTATTAGGCTGCTCATCCTGGGAGGCCAAAGGTATAAAGGATGTAGTGAATAGACTATATAAGTGGTGGAAAGAACTCCCCAGAATAGAGGAGACTAGGGATATGGAGATTCCTGAAATCCTTAAGAAGTACTCTTCTTTAGTACCTCCGCTTAGATTGATGACAATAATTCTGTATTTCCTTTGTCTATCAAAGCCAAAGAATCAGGCCTGAGTTACCAGAACAATTTTTTTTTATATTGTATTTTAAATATAGGGAGAATTACTCTTCCAAATTGCTTGTTATGTGACTGTCATTATCATCTGTTTCCCTTTCCCCCAAGCCTTATGATATACTTTACTGATTATATAGTATGAATGTAGACTATATTATATTGTGTGACTTGATAATGTACTCTCCAAACAAAGATTATTAGTCTTTTAAATGGCTATTTGACACCATTAAAAAATATAAATAACTTGGGCTAGATCCTGACTTGGTGTAAATTGACCTCACAGGGAACAAAGCTGATTTACATCAGTTGAACATGTGGCCTGAAATACATTTTTAATCCCCAATCTTTTAATCTGCTATATTCTGTTCAGAGCAATTGAGAATCTCATTTTAAAGTGACTATTACAAGATTTTGTAGTTCTATTATCTTGGAGATATTTTTTGATTTTGTGTCATTTCCTGAAATGAGCATTAAATAGTAATCCTAACTTTGCAGTTTTAGGATCTATGATATTTTACAGCCTGGTCTGGATGGGACACTGAGATTTATTGCTTGTATTATGTCCAGTGATTTTTCACCTCGGTTCCTTTCTGTTTTTCATTTCCCAAACCTAAAAATAATATTTTTATTAGTTGTTAAGGATGAATTTGAATAAAGGTGAAGCTTGAAAGAAACTCATTTCATTTAAAGGAAGGTGGGGAACTAGTCTGTCTTCTAAACTGGTACTGGTGGTCACTTCAGTAGGGGATATAAAGCTGCATTTCTGTATCTTAACTTCAGAGTCCCATATTATCTAAGAAGTTTCTTTCTAAGCCTATCTAATGATTTTTTTCCATGGACTAGAGAAAGATGGCCAAACATGTGGCATCAGCAACCTCTGTGCGTAGCATGTGGCAGATCATGGAGGGGACAGGCAGCACAGTGGCACAAAGGGAAGGAAGAAAAAAATAGAGCATCAGATCAGGCAGGGAGCATAGAGTTGGGAGCAGAATACAGAGCAGCAGATTGGGGAGCATTTGGGGAGTGTACGAGGTTAATTTGTGGCACACCTACCAGAAAGGTTGTCCCCCAATGGACTAGGGCTTGAGGATTAATAGATTTCCTGATTTTCTTTTAGCTTCTTAACATCTTATATCAAACCCACATTCTGCATTTTGAACAAAAAAAACTTTTGAGTAAATTAAGCTGAAGTTTGATAACTACTTTGATATACTGGTATTCTGATATACTGCTATCTGTAACTTCATAGTGATTTTACCAGAGCAAAGTGAGCTTGGGAGCCTCCTCAGTTTGATTATGGATGAATTTCCAGGATAGTTCATCCCTTTGATTAAAGGCTCTAGGAGAGGAATAACAGAGTTTATAATATATCTGGGTTCTATTTTTTCCTTCTGAATGATCTAAGCCAGATCTTTTTAATGCTCTGTTTTAGGTTGAAGAATATATCCTCCCATCATTAGTTTCTTTGGTCCACAGTCAGAATGGTAAGTATATGGCCACATCAACTAAAATTTCCATGAATTCCACATTTTGTTCTAATTAGACTTCAGTGTGGTCACATTCTTGGCACATTTATTTTCAAGTGGAATGGAGACTCTTCAGCTTGCGGTTGCTCTCAGAAACCACATCACTGCTTGTTAGCCACGAGGTCATGGCTGAGGAGAAAGAGGAGAGCCTTGACTCAAACAACAAGCTTCTGTCTCTCATTAGAGATTCATTGCTGCCTCAGTAAGTATACTGATGCTCTTCTAGCACAGAATATTTTGATACTCAGTCCACTTTGACTGCTTATTTGTTTTGAAGCCTTTTTTATTTAAATAACAAAACTAAAATAATAAATAATGATGAATTGGTGTCACAAACTTCTTTTCTAAATGACTCCCTACCAAACACATTTATTGCTTGACCATCTGTGACACAAGCTGAACATCTGTAGGACACCCACATTTTCTGCTTAGTTGTATTGTCTTCCTGGCTCATTTTGAAATGAGGCAGGAGTTTCCGTAGGCTTTGGGCTGTGAACCCCCCTGCTTCCCCAGTGCATTAGGTCAGAACAGTTCTGATCATTGCTAACTATAATGTTTTTCTTCTCTTTTGAATACTATGCCTCTGAAAGCTGTTCAGAGAGTACCATATTTAAATATGAACTTCTAAAAAGGAGAGTGAGGGGGGAATTAGGCCTCTGGGATTCAGATAAACTTTTCAGTAGTGAAGTAAATTGCTCTCTCTAAATTGCTATCTGGATATGTCTACACCATTTCCATGTTTCTGTCAGGAAGCATACCTTACTGACATTCTCCTGTTCCACATTTTCTAAACCCAGAAATGAGTCTAAAAAGCTGCTTTAGAGGCACTCCACCATTGCTCTCAAGCACTTTAGAGAGAGAGATTTCAAGAGTGGCCACAAAGGACCTTCTTAGGGCAGTTTCACTTGTTCAAAGAGAGAACAAAGAGGTGGGTAGGATATGCTTCTCCATTGTTCTCTCAGGAGTGCTGCTGAAGCAGTATATACCTACCCTCCTTCATTGTCTTTTGTCTGCCTGTTCTAAATTAAGGCAAGTACCCACATCAAGTCTTTAGGAGACCAACAGCAGGACATGTTAGGAGAAAAGCAGATGCATGCCCTTTGTACCAATGGCACTATTCCTGTAATAGACTGGCCTGCAAATTCTGTGGATACTAGGCAATATGCTAACTTATGGAATTGTTTGAAAGTGAATCTGAATGAAAACTTGTTGAGGTTTTTGTCTTCACAAGGTTTGCTCTTATGAGTTTTTCCATGAAAGAAGTTTTAATAATCCCTCACAACATCCTTCCCCTTTGCCAAAGATTCACAGAATTTATAAACAGTAGTTCCAAGATTTGAACTTGTATAGTATTGGAAATTTGACTTAAAATAGAGTATAGCCTGTACTAAAATAAATAAATACTGCTTCAATCCTGTTCAGATGAGGAGTCAGGAGGTGTGGGTTCTTTTCTTGACCCTGACACCAATCCTTTTGCAGTCAAATGAATTCCTCTGAGTTAGGTCCTTTGTTTGTTTCTAGTAAAGACCATAATAATATCCATCCTTGAAAAGCATATCACATGACATATATACGCTCAGATTATTAACATTTGAAAGGTTTTATGCAAAGATAAAAGTACATTTAATAAAACTGTGAAGCACTGTGATGGAGGATGTAAACATCACTGCAACCGTGAAAGAGTTAACTGCAGTCAGAGAAAACAGTTAGTGCACCTAACTGCACCTGGAGGATAGGCCAGTTCTAAGTAAATGAAGAGTTCCAGCTGTGAGGGATATGTAACTAATTAAAGGACTGCAATATAGAGCTAAGGAACTAAGCAGGGATCTTGAGATCCCTTTCTGAGACGGGAACTTGGACAAGAAGCCAAGAGGAATGCTCTACGATATTAGACATGGCTGCAGGAATGAAACTGAAGTAGGTGATAGGCCCTAGAAAAGGAGAAAATTGTCAGAAAAGTAGTTCTGTGAACCAGCATTCCAGGTAAGGTACAGGAAGTGCAAACCCTGGGTCCCAGGAAACCATAAGGAATCTGAGAACACAGCCCCTAACTACTTGGGGCTTAGTCCCTAGACTGAAGCACAGAGTAAAGGTAGGGTGTAATTTATGCCAGCAACTGCTGAGCCAAGGAAGTGTATAAAATCCTGGATCTGGGGCTTGGAACTCTTGAAAATCTTACAAGAGACAGACAGCTAAGCCTGTGGTCAGGGGCTGAATGCCATTTGAACTATTGTGCCTGAATACTGCTTGACTGGGTGCCTAAGTTATGAAAGGCAGACCACTGAGTGGCTGTTGGCAGTGGGCTCCCAAAGAGGAGTACCTGTGTTTCTATGCTCTACTGTGAGGCAGTAGATCAGGTGATGAGTTGCCCTTCTGCAAACAGCTTGTAGTAATCGAGGCTTGGTTTTGTTTCAAGAAATGAGACTTTCCAACTAGCTGTGTGGAAAAGGAAGACTTCCCAGTTTAAGTTTTGTTCACCCCTCTTTTTGAGGGGAGCTCTAGCTAGGACTCCTGTATGTCTGCACTTTATACCTACAGAATAGCTGCCCACAGGTCTTACTGGACTTAACATTAGATTTTAGGTAGTGGCAATGAAGTCATGAAAATGCTTGAACAGAAATAGTCTGTTCTCTGAAGAGAGTACTTATTGAGCACAGCAATTTGCAACTTCAAGCATAGGACAAAGAAGCAACAGAAAAACTTTGCCTAAGCTAAAATACAGTAAGCCACAGAACAATAGCCTAACTCAAAATACAACATAAAAAGCCAAAAAGACAACAGAAATCCTGTCATAGGTCTTACATAATCCCGAGGGCAGAGTATCTCCTTGAAGCCAGGTATTTGGAGGGTCTTTCTGGGGATCTGCAGGTCTTAGCTGGTGAGGGTGGTCCCATAAGTTTCATTTTTACTTGGGCTTTTATAGGTGATTTCCACCCCACCCCCCCTTTGGATGGCCTGTCTTTCACATATTCCAGGACTCTCTCACATGTTCAGTGCCCACCTCTTGCCCCATACAGGTTTTACTTTCAAACGTAAATGTAGCTTCCTGCTATCCACTTTGAAATGTAGCCCCCTGAGGGGCCCATACTTGTTACGACGGTGCCAGGTCTTTGCCAACAGCAGGCAATTGATTTAAGCATAAAATTGTCCCAGTGGTAGAATTTTGCTCAATATGCATGAGATGCAAAAGGACTGTTTGAGATGAATGCAGTTAGGCAAAGAACAGTTGCCATCTTCTCATCTGCCGTATATATCTATGTCCCATCTACAAGAATGGTAATTCCATGTTAGCGGTACTTCTATATTTGTAGATCAGCATGTTAACTTCCCCTTCTGCCTTTCATTGAATGGAAAGTCTTGTTTTATTTCAGTGAAAGATTTGGTTTCCTGTCCCCTCAGTATTTGGTGCAACCAGTACAAAAATTTTAGAAACTAATAAAGCAAGTAAAGGGGGTGAAAATGGTTTACATTTAGTAAGAAATTACCTAAATTTTCTTCAGAAACTCAGACTACAAAAAACCTTCATATATGGAAAGGTTATCTTATATTTTTATACTAAAGAAAATAGTATTTTTCACTTACACATTGCTCTGCACATCCTGGTTCTGGCTGAGATCTGAAGTGATAAAATGTGGTTAATAATATTATTTTGGCCAGCTCTGGAAGCCAAAATCATGGATAGTTTAAAAAAAAAAAATGTTTAGATGTCTCAGTGCTTAAAAGAACCCAAGCTCCAAAATTTCTGGGTTCCCATGATACTATTTCTATTTGGGAAATATCAGTAAAATGGCACTTACTACATTGTAGTTGGAATTTTTCAATTATTTTCATCTGCAAAAAAATCTTATTCATGTATTTGTGCCTTTGTTGTTCTCTAGTGAAATGATTGTCATGGAAATACACCTGGTGATCATAAGATCATAGGAAAAGTCAGGAAAGGATCTCATGAAGTCATCCAGTCTAGTCCCCCTGCTCAAGGCAGGACAATCCTTGACTAAACTGTTCTAGGCAAATGTCTGTCTAATCTGCTCTTGAAAACTTCCCAGGATGAGGATTCCACAATTTCTCTTAGGTAGCCTGTTCCAGTGTTGGACCATCTTCATGGTTAGAATGTTCCTCCTAATCTCCAACCTAAACTTCCCCTGCTGAAGATTGATGCCATTGTTGTCCCCTACAATCACAGAGAAAAGCCCGTCTCCATTCTCTGTATTATCCCCCTCCAGGGACTTGAAAGCTGTTATCAAATCCCTCCTCAGTCTTCTCTTCTCCAAACTAAATAACACCAGTTCTTTCAGCCTTTCCTCAGAAGTTTTACCTCCCAAGCCTCTAATCATTGGACTCTTTCCAAACTGTCCACATCCTTTGTGAAGTGAGGCCCAAAACTGGACACAGTACTCCAGATGAAGCCTCACCAATGCCTAATAGAAAAGAAGAATCGCTTTTCTTGATTTGCAAGTGTCTCTTTTGTTAATATAACACAGAATGATGTTGTGCTTTTTTACAACGAGCACACAGTTGACTAATATGCAGCTTATGGTCTGCTGTAGCTTAGCCACTCATTCTGCAGTCTGTGCATGCAGTTTTTCTGTCTCAAGTACAGGACTTTACAATTGTGCTTATTGAGGCTCATCAGATTGATTGATTACAGACAATTTTTCTAGTTTATCAAGGTCATTCTGGATCCTAGACCTATCCTTTAGTGTTTGCAACTCCACATAGCAAATTTGAAGACATCACTAGGTTAAGCTCAAGTTCATCATGTGCATCATTAACAAGAATATTAATACTGGACCCAAGATAGAACCCTGGGGATACCTCCTCCCAACTGGACATCAAGCCATTGATGACTACTCACTGGGCATGTGTACATGTGCAATTAATATGAAGCAATAATCTCTCGGGTTAATTGCTCCAGAGTTTATTGCTCCTGGGTGTGCTGTTTGAATATATGCCTGGGAGCAATAAACTCCAGAGTTAATTGCTGTGTGAACATGTGACCAGGAGTGCAGCACACTGAGCTGGGTTGGAGCAGCCTTAGCTGGCATGGGGACTGGGGGGGTCAACTTGCCAGCCTGGGGCTGCTCCCCCCAGCTCAATGTGCTGCAGAAGGGCTGTCTGGGCCATGAGGGTGCTTCAGTGCAGGGTTAGCTAGCAGGCAGTTCCTGCACTGAAGCATCCTTGTGCCCTAGCCAGCTAGTCAGTCTACATGTGTGCTGCTGTGGAGTAAATTAGTTTACTCAAGCCTAATAGGGGTATACATGTAGCTGTCAAGATGTTTACTGTGTAGTTAATTAGTCTACTGTGCAGTAAACATCTTGTGTAGATGCGCCCATTGAGTACAATGATCCAACCAACTGATAGTGTGATTGGTTGTTTAGATTTTACTACTGTGTCTGTCCTCTCCTATACAGGTATAAAGTGAACTAAAGACACTGTAACTTTAAAGGCATTTTGTTCAGGTTTAGCTTAGCAATATAGTTCCGCTTATACTGGCACAGGAGTGGATTGACATAATTTAAATCATACAGGTATTATAGTGGTATAAACTGTTCTAATTGAACATCCATAAGTTAGGGCAACTGTTCCAAAATTAGGGGTTGCAATCCCACATGGGGTCATAAGCTTCACAGAGCCTTTAAATTCCATTATCATGCTGGCTGCATATCAACTATCCCTCTGTCTGCAGTTACCCCATAAGTAAGTACTAAACCACAGTAACTTCACTCCTTCACTTGCAGGCACACAAATATTTACTGCCCTTCTGATAAGTCTCTGTGATGAGGAACCTGTTCCCTATTTTTTAAGGGGATATACTATGCCTTGACCTGTATGTGTGCCCAGATTTACCACACTGCAGCTGCTCCAGAGCAACTGTCCTTGGGCTCTCGATTTCTCTGTGATGAGAATTTGGGGTGGGGGGACCATGGCTGCCCTCCCTAGTCTCCCATGTTCCTGAGTGGTGGAAGTGGGGAAAGGGCTGCCTAGTACCAAGCATGATGAGTCTCAAGCCCAGGGAGATGGCATTAAACTTAATGTGTGACTGCTCTGAAACTCTTCTAAATTTGTGGAATGTTAGGCAGTATTAAAGTAAGAATGGTTTAAAGGTAACCTGTAACAGCACTCTTCAGTGAAACCTAAGTTAGGAAAACTTCACCCCATTTTATTTAGGGGGAATGCTATCCTAGTTTATCTCACCATGGGTGATGGTGTAGGAGCAAAGAGATTTATTCTCCCTGTAGAAAATTGAGCACTTCTAATAGATATTTTAGTGATTCCTCAGGAAAAAAAAAAAATTTCCACAAAAAGAATGTTCATTTTAGCTACTGTGGGTTTTTTATGTGGTATTTGGGTCGATGAATCACTTTGCAATGAAATTTCTTGCTTGGTAAGCTAAAATTATTGTACCATAAATAGTATTCACTTATAATATCTTTGAAAAAAAAAATTGGCATTTTAAGTAGAAGCAACTAAGAAGAACTGATTTTTATCAAGTACATGGGAGAGTATGACGGTAATATAAAGGTAATCTTTTTAAAAAAATTCATAGGAGATTTTAAATATTATAAAGTGGATATAGTCTCTGCAAGGTAATAATCACCTTACCTCTATGTCTGCAGAAAAGTTTATGTTGTTACATTTTTTAAGTTGTGTGTCTGAAGTTGGGCCCTAACCAATTTTTACTATTATTTTTGTTATGGATTATGATTTTGAGACATAAATCCATGTTTTGTATAGCAAAGTACGGATTTTGGCAGGCAGTTTTGGAGACTATATAAGCACCCATGCTAAACCACAAGCAGCTTGTAGAAGCATGCGAATAAATGTGTTTAGTTCAATAGGAGCTCCATAGTGAATTAAAATATTTTTATCTTTTAAAAAATTAATGTATTAATCACACACGAGAAAATGGGTTTTATTTCAGGAAATAAAAACTATATTGAGTAACATTTGGCCTTTTCATTGGATAGACAAAAAGTTAAGAATAAGTCTTTGTGTAAGGGTCTAGGTTTAGCTCTTGCTTCTTGTTCTTCAAGGTGTGAGAAGCATGTGCAGTTCTTTGAGGATATCATACAAGCTGGTGACAAGCCATTCCTTGTTCATTTTAGTAGAAGTGAAAATTTTAAAGATAGTATTTTATTCCCCATCCCCAACCACTCCTTCAGATTTTTTTTTCTCAAAATGTTATGTAAAATATGAATGCATTTGATGCCCATATTATGGTAATCTACTAGGTTTTCCTGCTAATAATCCCCCATTTAAATATTAATTCTTTAAATTTTCCTTTCATAAATCAAGGGCTTTGTCTCTGCTATCTTATTTCTTATTTAGAGTTATAGTATTTATTAATGAGAAGTTCTGTTCTTGAAACGGAACTTAAGCCTCTTGCACTGGTATCTCTTTTTTTCTATCCATCATCTTATATCGTATATGCATCAACTCTTCTTTTTCATAAATGGGCTAAAAAGAACTAGAAATACCACTATTCCCCAGGGAGAACCAAGATGATCAGTTTTTCATATTGACATACAGCACCTTGTTTTCCCTGACAAGGCTTTTGGTTAGGTAGAAAATATTTTGATATATAGTATAGATCTTTTTTTTGTGGAAGTGCATTTATCGAAGAAATTGAAAAGAAGCATTGATTGGAGTTGTTGTATTGTTCAGTAGCATTCCTAGGAGAATGAAAGTTCACTGTATTTAAGAAAAGAAAACCAAAAGTGAAAGAAGTGCTTTAAAAATAAAAGGCTTTAAATTGCAAAAAATTAACAAAGTAAAATATCAAATCCCAGCACCTGGTCACGTATAAGCCTCTCTACAATAGTTTGAGACTCCTATATCTTGTACCTATTACTATTTTAAGATTCATTGAATAAAATTACTTCTTTATAATTTTATTGCTTGCCTGTCTCAAGTACATATGATGAAACTAAATTTCTCTTTCAGTACTACTGTTGTTGTTTTTAATATTTTTTTGACTTAGTGCCATGAACTGGGAAATAAATATTTATTTCCAAATAGTAGTGGTGTTTAATATTATATAATTCCAAGTAGCAGGAACCTTATTGTTTGTTTTACCAAATCAGTAAAAATACATTATTTTGGAGTGCTGTTTTTCCTTAATACTCTAGGAGTGACTATATTTTAAGCCATTAACAAAGTATATCAGCTACTTGATTCACTCAGTCTCTAGCTTTTCACCATTAATTTTTCTTTTTCTTGCAGTTATGAACACATTCTGATGGCTCCTGACCCAGTCCCAGTGTATGCTCTAAAACTCTTAGTGGCCCTGAGTGAACACAGCCCAGCTTTTACAAGGTAACACAACATTTTCTTCTCTTTTTTCACTTACTCAGATAACAATTAAGAATTACTCTAGGGATAAATTCAGTTCAACCTGTTGAGATTATGTAGAGATCTGGGTTTGTAGTAATAGTGAAAACAATTTTCTGTTACTGAAATTCATAGCTCTTAATCTGCTCTACTGCTTTTTTTTCCTACATTTTTTAATACTTTTAGCCCTATTAAATACAAAAGAGTATAAAATAATGGGAAGATAAAAAATCTTTTTCTGATTTGAATCTTTTTGTTAATCTTTTACTAAATTTTCTGAATTTCTTGTGCTGTCTATGCTAATATAAGTACACTAAGGGTAGGAACAGACATCACATTTGTCCCTGGAAAAATTGTTCTTCTGTTTATCCCAGCACTAAAATGTCCTGGGATTGGCATGTATGCACCATCACCCTTATAGTCAAGATTTAGTGAGCAGTTCAGTGCAGTGCCACCTTTCTGCCATTGATTCAATGACATAATCCCAGGATAACTGTTTGGACATACTTAGCAGCTTGTCCCAAGTTATTGCAACTACCTGTTATGCAGGAAACATTTTTAGGATTTATCTCAGGATAAGAGAATGGATATCTGTATGCCTGTAGTTTGTCCCAGGATAATATGATCAATGTGATGTCTATTTTCTGTGTGTATATAATACCTAGTATAAAAACACTATATTTGTTTCCCTTCCTCTGCAAGTAGTTTGCACACTGTGCTGCTGTCAGAACATAGTGTTTGGAATTACCAGTATTTGCCTTTCCCTCACTTTTGACTGGTGAGTGAGATTTTCAGCTCATTCTTCATTTTTGTCCATTACTTTCTAAATCCTGAAAGCAATAGTGGCAGTAACAAAATAGGTTTCTATATAATTCTGAACTTTCTGAAATCAGGTTACATAAAGCTAACGTGAGGTTTCAGCAAGTTATGATCAGAATATTCAGTACGGAGTGTTTAAATTATCCCCAGAAAAGATTTTAGCAGTAAGTAGAGCCTCCCACAAAGGGGGAAAGAGAATTGATCAGCAAAGAAATCTATGTCTTAGATGTCAGTATGGGTAAACGGAGAATGACTGTAAATCAATTCCTTGCAAAGGAAATTAAAACAATAGTAAAAGGTTACATACCCTTATAAATGAAAAGATGAGAAGAAAAGAAATGGAATTGCAAAAGAGTAGAGATTAGAAATAATTTAGTTATGGCTCCAGTATTAAATGAGTATTTGATTCAGTCAGTACAGTTATGTTGAGCATGAGGACAAAAGCAAGATGTGAATTACCCTATCCAAGTTGCAGAGCAAATCTCAGGGACATAGATTCATAGATTTCTAGAGTTGGAAGAGACCTGGTAGATCATCGGGTCTGACCCCCTGCTCCAGGACATTTTGGACTCAAATTGGGAAGGATTGAATAATCTGTATCCAGAATGCTAAAAAAACCTAGTATGTAAAACTGTAAAAGTGAAAACATGGATTTTTAATAAAAATATCAAATTTGGGGTACCATGTGCCTGGAGAACAGCAAATTTAGTACTTTTACTCATGAATTTTACTTATGAAATGTCAACTGACCCCAGTAGAACGAAAGGCTTTACAGCAAATTTTGAAGGAAAGAATTGAAGATATGAGGTAAATAGAAATTTCAAAGAATGTATATACTAGATAAACTACTACTAGATATTGGGATATTTACAGCTTTTGCTAAAACTATGCAGTAAAATTAACCATTGAATTTAAATATATTGGAATAAAATTAGGTAATTCATGGTTATCAGTAAAAACCTACAATAACATTATATATTTTACCAACTTAAAATTAAAACAAACATATGATGATACAAAAAATCAAATGAAACAATATGTTATAGTAAAAGAATAGAAAAAAGAAATTTAATTTGAGTTTGGCCTTTACCTTTGTGCAAGTACCAAGGAGTATAGGACAGGCTACAAGTTTTTAGAAAGGAATCAAATATTAGGAAGAAGCCCAGTGTTTATCATTTTCAACTAAGGCAGAGATCCATTTTCCTCTTAATTCTTCAAAGAATGTGCAAAGCCACAAATAGTAGTTTAAATCATCTATCCCATTCTTCCCACAAAAAATACCCCATGTCTGAATACAGGGTCCAAGACCACCTGCCAATAATGACTATGCATCTCATTTTAGTGAATCAGAGTCTAGTAATACCCTTTCATTGTTTGAGGGTTTATACTGCAGATGGGTGGGTTTTTAGGATAGAAGAGAGTGCTTTACCTATTTTAAAAAAGGAGAAGTTTGAGAAAATCTCGCTCTCTGCATATCTGTCTGCATACTGGTATCTTTTAGTTCTTAAATGTGTATCTTGTTTTAAATATAGGGGGAATGTTGGATCAGTGACTGGCAGCACATTTCAGGCAGGAGGGGTCAGGTGGCTACTGTGGCTCTGGCTCCAGTCCCTACCTGGCATTGCCCTAAATAGATCATGATCTGATTTAGCATGTTTATTTGACTTATATTTAGTAAACAAAACTTAAAAAGTTAATGTTAATTTTATGTCTCAGTAGCTACAAGTATTTGAACTGAAATATTTGATTAGGAAAATAATTAAATACAGCAGTTAATGTGGTTTAAATGTTATTCAAAGCTTTATGTGGAAAGAGATTATTTGTATTGGAATACTTGTATAAATGTAAAGACAAACACAATAGCATGTACTTCCCTTACATTGTTTGTTTAAATTTAAGGAAAAAAATGAGGGCACTGAAAACTGTTGACGCTAATTTTAGCACACCCAAAGTACTTTGCATGATATACCATGATTGTCCACTCATCTACTTTAACAGAGTTTAACTCTCTTCCACTGAGGTCATTTTGGCACCTCCAGTTTCACTGTTGCTATCTATAGAATCACTTGCACTATTTATTAGTTCCATTTCAGTATCGGATTGAAGCAAATCTGATTCAGAACTACTTGAACCACATTCTTTTTCACTAAAGGATGGTTTGACCAATGAGTCTATGGGCAAGGGCAGCCTATCATCACACTGCATCTTCCTCACTAATTGTGCTTCTGACTGATTTTTCAGAAGGAAGAGATTTTGAGAGCGGTGCATTCATTTGTTAGTCTATTCCTCCTTTTTTGTCTTGATTGAGCTGAAAACCTTCCGGTTCCATTCACAAGAAGTAGCTGTTGGTGGAATGCTTAGGATCCTTAGAGCAGCATTTCCCAGCCTTGGGAAACCTTCTTGCCAGCCAGAAGGCATGTTGGGCTGGAGCTGTATCCCCTGCTTGGCTGGAGTGCCACGCTCCCCGTCTGCCTGTGTCCACAGCAGCAGCAGATGGAGGGTGTGGCTCCAGCCAGGCAGGGGGTGTGGCTCCAGCCCAAAATGCCATAGCACACCAGTTGGGAAACGCTGCCTTAGAACAACCCTGTACAACAGTCAGGTGTTACAGTATCCCTTTCACCATGTGAGAAGAGACGTAGTCTCTGCTGCCTGCCAAATGATGTCTTTGCTCCAAAATGTTTCTTTTGTGTGGTACTTGGCAATGTCTGTCATCAGGGATATTTCATCAACATTGGGGACATTCTTAGTTACTTATAGAATTGTATCGAGAGCAGTAGATAATTAATCTTCCAATTAAATGTTGTCCTCTGTGTTGAGAATCCAAAAGGTTTGCTGCCAGATGAACTAGATGAGAGCAAAACTCAGATCTCTTAGTAAACATTTGTTTTACTACTACTTTTTTGGATAGAGGTGAAGAAGGCAAAAGCTCAATTAGACTTTCATTCAGTTGTCTGAATATCTCTGGAATATTTGAAAGGCTTGGTGTGTCTCCTTCAAGTTTCTTGATAGCCACTAGAAACTGGTAGTAGCAAATTGAATGCTCCTTCAATTCGAATCCAGAACACATTGTTGTCAAAAATCTGCTTCTGAATGTTCACGGGAATAATCTCGGGCGCCGTGTCATCTATTGAAGCACACTACAAACAGTTGTTTGGGCACAGCAAACTATGTAAACACTTTGTAGCGGAGCCCCATCTAGTTTCTCTTGGCAATAAAAGTGCACTTTCCTTCCCCTGCTTCTCTTTCTGTAGTTTCTTCAAAGTCTGATTAGCAACATGATGATTGTTGAATACCTTCACAATCGCTTTGCAGTTTGCCAATATTGTCTTCATTGTATTCACACTTGCTATGTCCTTTGCCAGAAGATTCAAACCATGAACAAGATAGCCAAATACTATTAAATGAAGATACTTTGCCTTTAATATTTGCCATGCAGCTTTCATGTTACTCAAATTATCAGTTATAAGGGCTGGTACTGTAGAGGGACCTGCACTTTGTCTCTTCACTCAGTAATTTGGCTATGTATTCACCTCTATGACGAGAAGATTTGGTAGCAATTGCTTTCAGGAATATTGGTTCAGGTGTTGCTAACATAATGTTCAATAAAGAATTTTTTTGTATATCAATCAGTCCATCCATCTGACATCAGAGTCAGTGATTCTGCTTGACCAATCCTTTGAATAACCGTTGTTTGAACCCTGTCATACTCTCTACCTGAGAGAGAATGTGATGAGTGATAATGTGACGGTAACTTATATTATGAGTGAATTAGTTTGTAAAGTTCCTTCCAATATTGATTTTCAGTTATGGAAAGAGGTGTACAACTTGCAAATATAGCTCAAGCTAATGTCTCATCTGCTTTTTCTTGATCTTATTTTGACGTTTTGTCCACAAAGCTTGATTAAAAACTTGACTATCTTGAACAGCTACTCATGGTGGATCACATATGTGGTGACAGTGATCTTGAAAGCGAGGATCCTGCTGCTTCTTCCCCCAGACCTGGCAGCCCAACCTTTTTATTGCCCATATTTTGCAAATCTGCTATTACACTTGAGCTACCAAGTTCCTGCAACAAAAGCGGGGAAAGATTTTTATCTTAGCCTATTCTAGTCTGGCTTCATCCATCAGAAGGAGGAAGAGAAGCATCAGGGAGCTTGCTTCCCCAC